CATCCGGTGTGGATATGATTCCCTATGTCGTCTGCAACGCCTTCTTTTCACTCCTGGCCGGTGTCATCGTTTCGAAATCCGGATACTTTACCCCCCCATCTATTATCGGCACCGCCATTGCCACGATAGGATGCGGACTCATCAGTACATTACAACCCAACACGCCATCTCCGCAATGGATTGGTTACGAAATCCTCAGTGCCGCCGGTTTCGGAATCGCCATCCAGCAAGGATTTACCGCCGTCCAAACCGTCCTACCTTTGGAGAAAATCCCCATCGGAACCGCGGCGGTCGTTGCGTCTCAGAGTTTTGGCGGTGCCATCTTTGTTTCGGTCGGTAACAATATTCTGCAGAATCAATTAAAATCCTCGGCAGATGATGGGCAACTACCGGGTGTTGATATACAGGCGGTCTTGGATGCTGGTGCGACGGGTTTTAGGTCCGTCGTGGATCCAGATCAATTGTCTGCACTGTTGATAGCTTATAATGGGGCGTTGCAGAAGGTTTTCATTGCTGCGATTCCCGTTATCGGATTGGCGTTTATATCTTCTTTGTTTTTGGAATGGAAAAGTGTTAAGACTCAAAAGGGCGTGGAAAAGGGGTGAGATCTTTTGCTATCTCCTTGATATAAGATCTTTCTGGGCTTTGTAAATAATACATATATATACACCCTTTAATGGCATAATAAATTGTAATAGGCATGGTGAATTTTTATTGATATTAATCCAAATGCCCCGAGCAGACAGGCTGAAGATTAGGGCTTTTAAATGACATTGCACCGTCAGGTCATATCAAGTCAACCTCTCCTTGGGTTGTCAAATGTGATGTAAAAAAACCGGACGATAATATATAATTTCTGTAGTGATGTTGGGAACTTCAAAATCTTGGAACCCCCCCCCCAAAAACGTGATATCGATGTCACTATTAACCCCCTATATCTCCATCGGTGAAATGATCTATCATTTGTGATGATCAGACAGTCATAGCAATTTCGCAACGCTACTAAAGCTAGGTAGCATCAGATGAAACGTAACCCATCAATCATATTCGCCCTCGAACCATTGTAATACATTTGAACACGCTTCAATACCCAATAGCGTTTATCCATCTCCAAATCCGAGCACAGTCGAGTTAGTTTCCGCGCTTGAAAATCACCATTATTGAACTCTCCCACTCTGGCCCGCCTCTCATAATATCATCCAGTTTGCTATCGTTCTCCAAGTCTTCGGTGCCCATCCTAGTACTTTATTCCCGCCATTCGGTTTGATGAATAGACTCGGAATCGATCATTCGATAGATCTTTTCTCTCAGAGACAATTTTCCATATTACAGCAAGACTCCCATGCATGACCAAGAAAGTGGAGCGGGATAGACAAGCCAATAATGATGTATTGCAGAAGAGTTTAAGAGTTTATCTTGGACTTTCTTGTAGAGTAGTACGAGTATGTTTTGATGAGGAAAGAAAGATAGATACCCAGCATGCGACTTTCTCGGTATATAAAAAGCAAAGCGGGAAGGGGAGGGGAGGGGAGGGGAGGGTAATCGACTAGATTTTGCCCATTCAAATAGGACTGGATGATCATATGAATATGAATATGAATATTAATAGCTAGGTAGCTAGATAAAGAACCCACAGAGGATATCCACAGAGGATATCCACAGAGGATATCCACAGAGGATACCCAAACCTCGTATCGGCATCAACATCTTATCTATGAAGCTCTATTACCGAGATACACAAGGAAGAAGACAAGAGCTCGGGGCGAAGCGAATAATCCACATCCGAATTCCCGAACGATGCGATGCGATGCACCGATCTACCATCTACCATCTACCATCTAAATAGGATTCAAGGAATTATAGACCGAAATTCCACTCGGAGAAATAGGTACCTACCTAATTGATCCGACGATCCTCATTTCTCGATATATCCGACGATCTTCATTGTTCGATATATCCGATATATCGCAAGAAGACACGCCCGATCTACCATCTACCATCTATATAGGTATCTAGATCGAGCAACACAGCTGATGATGAAATATTCACAATAAAGGCTGCTAGTAGCTGCTATATATAGTATTACTAAAACGCGTGCCAGGATTCCAAGAAATCGCTGGTATTTTTCATGAGTGTTAGTTAATATGATATCATATGATAGATATGATAGATATATGTATATGATAGATATATGAGTGGTGAGACTTCTTTCTATGCTGAGAAGATAGAAAGATATCGAGAAAATAAATAAACAACCCACCCACCCTCACGCACGGCGCACGCACGCCAACTTGGCGCTCGAGAGTTTTATCTAAAATAAAAAACTAAATCTCAAGGGTCATGCATCGCCGCATTTCCAAAAAAAAAAAAAATTTGAAAGTAGGTAGGTATCGATCATATATAGCGGGGTAATTCCAAGGTTTTCGGAGAGAGGGATATCCGATCCGATGCGATGCGATTAACACCTACCAGTGTTGAGACGATGCACGTTCAGGCAATGACTTCTGTATTGAATTTGATTTGATATTATTCTTCGATAAGATTCTTCGATAAGATTCTATCTCCATATTTCTGGCCATGAAGGGGTGGGTAGCTTAGCTAGGCTGATCGAATTTCTCGGGGCTTTCAAATTGCATGTGGATTCTGGGGGTGGACTATTTGGGTATTTTTGTTGTCGTCTGCTGTGTTTATATAGGGTCTCGCAGCGAGAAATTGTTAAATCGGTATATTATATAGGCGTGTTTGAAGGGAAGAAGCATTTGCTCGGAGCTCTTCTATCGCGACATACTGTCTAGATCCCCGAGACACCTGGGGTTTCTGGAGGGCTGAATGATATCTTTTCTGTGTATCTGGGATGAAAATAGTCGGTAGGATTTAGTTATTCGGGCTAGTGGGAACCCCGGATCCTTCGATTGTGAGTGGTACTTTGGTAGTTATCATGTTCGAAGAAGGGTGGGAAGGATTGTTATAGGTTTCATATCGAGTGGTGAAAGAAAACCAGTGCTGGGGATTTAATGTTGAGAAAAGAAAAAGTGAAAAGCGAGACTTTACTAGAGATATCGGTTCATAGATTTTGAGAGTGCGGTTTTTTCTTTCTACTGTTAACTGATTAACTGAAACGGGTAAGTATATGTAAGGTCAAGTAGATCATATCACAATCCTATGATGCCCATCTTTGCTTAAGCCGTTGTAATTAACCTTGGGGGGTAGGTATATTCCATATTGACCAAGCTCCTAGAGCATGGTTTTACGGAAAGAAACCCCCAGTCCCCTGATAGATCCACTGGTGTCATAACAGCGGGGATGGAGTGTTTCCTTCTCGATTGCCCGATCGAGATAGATATTTAACCCAAGCTCAAGCCCCGCAGACGTAAAAAGTAGATATCGAAATGTCCGCCCATAGTTTTCATCATTTTTTTTGATTTCAGGATGAGGAAATTGTGACGTAGGGATGAATGAATACTTGTAGTTTCCACAAGCATCGACAAATCTGTCACTGGCTGATTCATTCTTCTTGTCCTTGATCATCATAACCACGTAAGTTCTTGTAGATTTTGATTATTATTTGAAGATTCCCAATCCAGATGATCTAGTCGGCGACGAGTAATGTAATGTAATGAATGAGCCGCACCCAGATGCTTTCTGATGCATGGTAGCATGCGTGGTGATTGCTAGCATGCATGCATTCCTTAGATTATGTTTTTATGGAAATTATAGCTACCAATTTGGTTTGGCATCTTGAATTCATCGCCTCAAGGATCCAACTGAGAAACGCATACAACACTGACGATTGATACAAGAAATGATGACAATTTACAAAAGACCCCCAACGAAGAGACTACTAGTAGATATATCCCCGGTCCATCGCATATCGACTCGAAATGAATCCAATCCAGAGAAACAGGCGCAATAAAAAATACCACAAAATCTAGCCCTCGACCCTCCCCTCGAATCAACCGCAAACATCTGCACACGATAAACATGCATCTCAACTTGTGATAATAAAATGAGATCGTCGAAGGGCTTCAAAGTTGACATTTTGTAGAGAGATTCTACCCACACGGCTAGCTAAACAAGGTTGATGATAGGTACTGTGAGATGCTACGGTCAGATCCTAATTAATAGTTGGAGGAATAATAAGTGCCAGGAACTTGAAAATGCGATTAGAATACTGGACTCATTGGTAATTTTCCCGAGAAGACTGGAGCGAGGAATCATATATATCTACGGAGGCAAGCACCCGATGGCGTCGTGAAGGGTGGTGTGTGGCTCCGGACTTTTCAATCACCACTTCGTGGACAGGTCTTCGCAGCCAAAAAGAAATATGTAGATAAATCGGCACAAACTGGTGGATGTGGACTCTAACCATCATGACTATACCATTAAGTTAGTGTATACAAACGTCGAGGATTCTACCTACTGTTGATAATGACAATCGGCAAAACATCGGCAACAAGAAAAATCCATCAACAACGGCGGCGGCGGCGCAGGTGAAATTTCGAGCAAGCTGATTGTAGTATAAGGATTTCCCAATTTCATATGATATGATATACAATAAGTTATTGAATATGGAACACTCATGTGGGAATATACGTAAAAAGGGTACCTACCTATAGATAATCCCGCCGTAATGGTATTCAATGTGAAGTTATTATAAGACATGTCAGGACGAAGTAGATAGGTAGGTAGGTAGGTACACATTCACGAACGGTTCAATCATCCATTCTTATCCAGCGGAAATTCAACAAAACAAAACATTTTTGAAATCCTAAGGATCGTTTGTATCATTACCTACCGCAAAGACTTTCTTAAACAAAATACCGAAAGTTATTAATAAGTTATCACACTCTCTTCAAAGCCAATTAACTACCTACCTCCTACCTACCAGTCCTCAAATCCTCAAAACCTCGCTCAAAAATTAACATTTCGTTCTCGCAGGCTCGACTGCGGTAGGCTATATATATTTATTTATCCGACGCTCTATCACAATCACATGATTAGGCACTTTGGCGGAGTGGTTAACGCGATGCCCTGCTACTGTTTCCAACAGAGTCAGGCATTTCCTTCGGGAGCGAGTGTTCGAATCACTCAGGTGTCGTTCTTTTGCTGATTCTTTTTTTTTTTTTTTTTTTTTTTTTTTTTTTTTTTT